AATTTATGTTATCACTTCACTTTAAGCTCACATTACACACTCATACGACATTCACATTTATCCCATCGTCACCATAAATCTTTCTCTCATATTCTAGTATTTTGAGACCATCAATTACTAATTCAAATGTTAGGACTTTTTGAAGGTGATGTGTGAGTTTGAATTTATTGGCCTTCTGGGCTCTCTTGTGATTTGTTGTTGATGCCGGATAATTATGAAAAATTGTGTTGTGAATTGTGATTTTATGCAAGAATTAAAATCTTACATAAATGGCAAGAGTGCTTAGCTGGTTGATAAATTCACATCCATCTCTTCAAAGATTATGTTATTTTAGGAATAGGAAGAATTACACGCTGATCTTTTTAAATTTGTCACTTAATCACTCAAGTTTTCTAATATTTAAAATATTATATATAGACCCCTATAATTTATATGCACGTAACACTTAGACCTTTGTCGTCAATGTCCGTTAGTAAATTATATTTTGAACCCCTTAAAGTTTGTAGGAATATAATATTTAGACCCTTCAAATTTAAAATATTATACTTAAACAAAAAAATACACAAATCAAATATAAAATATAAAATATTTTAAATTTTACAACCAAAATTCAAGTTCTATTATGACATTTATTAAAATAAAATCAAAAATAAAATATAATATTTTCTTAAAAAATCATAATTAATATACAATTATAGTATATATTATAATTTAATTTAATCATTTAAACGACCAAATTACGCCAATTAAAGTTAGAAGAATTTGACCACTTGTTTGATTTTTTAGTTTTATTCCAATATATAGTATAATTGTATATTAATTATAATTTTTTAAGAAAAAAATTAGTTTTTTATTTTTGATTTTATTTCAATAAATAACATAGTAGAATATAAATTTTTGTTGTAAAATTCATGTTCTATTATAAATGACTTAGACCTCTTGTTTAATTTTTTAGTTTTATTCTAATAGATAATATAACTGTATACTAATTAAGATTTTTCTTTAAAAAATAGATTTTTATTTTTTATTTTATTTCAATAAATGACACAATAGAACATGAATTGTTGTTGTAAAATTTAAAATATCTGATATTCTATGTTTGATTGGAGTATATTTGGTCTAAATATAATATTTTAAACTTGAGAGATCTAAGTATTATATGCCTACAAGTTTTAAGGGGTTTGAGTATAATTTACTTACGGATATACTAATGAACATTAATGGTAAGGGTCTAAGTGTTATGTGCGTACAATTTTTAAGTGGTGTGTGTATAATATTTCAAATGTCAGAGCATATAAATGATTAAGTGACAAATTTTAGGGGGTCTGAGTGCAATTCTTCCAAAAAAAATAATAATAATGCTCAATAAAGTAAAGCTATGACATAAAATGTTTGGGATATTTAGATCTTAAATAATCCTATTTTATACTAATGTCATCAAATTGAGTTGTAATTTTATTTTTATATTTTTGCAATTTTTTTATCATATCAAAATAAATTGAAAGTAACACACTTGGATCCCATTTTCTTAACCCATTGATGATGGGTCCAAATATCCTAATTAAGCAATGCCGCAAGGGATGATAAAATATCCAACCAACTATATGTCATACTGCCTTCTTCAGGATCACATGGTCGTTAAAGAGTGTGGGTGGACCTTAGCATTTTACCAATAAAGATTCTCCTATCTAAATAGTATCAATTTCAATTAAATTTAACCATTTTTACTTATATACATATGTATAGCGGTAGACCTAATGATTACTATTTCTGCTGAATTCGAATTTCATTGTCTCTCTCCTGTCATTGACCTTGATAGGAGTGTTAAAATTTGACACAACTCAGTTAATAAAATACGAACACGATACGAAATTAGAGGGTTTAACTCTTTCTTAAGTCACCCGTTTCTCATAAAAGAGTGGACCCGATCCGACACTATTAATAAAAAAATAAGACATGAGTGAAACTTATCAAAAGAAATACGCAATGCAATTTTTTTAACACAACTCGTTGGACACGAATTAATAAAAAAATCGGCTATAAATAGAATGTTTTTTGACGCGAACCAACTAAGTCTTGACATGAACTCACTTCAGCCAATACAATTAATAAACGAATCGATATGAGTGAAGCCAATAATTTCTTATAATCTATAATATAAAATATGACGAACTTCAATAAGTTTATTCGACGGTCTGAAATAAATTTATTCAACTGTTACCAACATTTATCTCAAAATCATTTATATTACAGTGTATTTTTAGGCACGAGTTACCCTATGTTGAGATACTATAGGGATAGACTTGGCTGTGGGAGTGGGAGTATGGGTAATGGTACAAATATATTATTAATTTCATGTTTCGCACGAGATGATGCATGATTAAAAAAGATAAGAAGGATTTTTAATTCTTAATACGACAATTTATATTACAGGCGAGGCCGGCATTAGCTTATTAAATGAACCTTCATGCAAGTCTTTCATTAAAAATTAAAAAACAGATTGACAATGAAGTACAATTTCAAAAAGGCATATCCTCCGAAAATGCAGACAGTTTGGCATACTCACAAAATTCCAATGGTCTAGGCATTTTACGACAATTTTAATTCTAAAAAAAAAAAAAATTGGTATCTGACTTTTAAAATTTATTATTTTTGTGGATATTTTTATAATTTTTAAGGGTCATTTTACAATAGAAAAATTTATTATTTTTGAGGTCATATAATAATTTTTAAGGTTCAAGTTGTAATTTTTATAGTTGCAAATGATCTACAAAACATATAAATGACCTTCAAATTTTATAAAAAAAGTAATAACGGTAAACTACTTCTCCCTTTTTTTTTTCCTTAAGATATGAATATGGTATTCAAGAAAGTATGGCACAAAAAATTAATAACATCATTTGAATCAAATTAATTATTGATAATACTACTAATAAAATCATATTCAAAGATGATTTCACTAGACAACAGAAAAAGACAAGGCAACTCAACTCAGATACAAGTCGATATCAAGTGAAACACTCTTGATAAAACTGAAATGACTTGAGCCACGAGAAGGAAAGAGATGAAGAGTACCGTCCATCCCCAAATTTCATCTAAGAATAAATTTACTAGTGTCACGTCACATATTTATAGAATAGCACCTTAAAAATATAGTCTCTAACAACTCAATATTTTTCTCTAATATTCTAATAGATCGAGGGATCACTAATGATAATTTGAGAATCACTCTCCTAAGACAGTATAAATATGAAAACCCCAGCTTGAAAAAGGTTTAGGATTATAATCATCTTTTTCCTAAACAAACAATAGAAATTCTAGAATAAAATACTGTATTAGTGTTGATTAGCCTAAATTTTCAGCTAATGAAGTATTGTATTTCTCGTGTTAACTAATTTATACTATCACTTCACTTTAAGCTCACATTATACAACATTCACATTTATCCCATCATCACCATAAATCTTTCTCTCATATTCTAAGTATTTTGAGACCCATCAATCACCAATTCAAATGTTAGGATTTTTTTGAAGGTGATGTGTGAGTTTGAATTCATTGGCCTTCTAGACTCTCCTGTGATTTGTTGTTGATGTTAGATAATTACGAAAAATTATGTTGTTGGGATATTTAGATATTAAATAATCCTATTTTATTCTAATTTCATCAAATTGAGTTATAATTTTATTTTTATATTTTAATAATTTTAATACCATACCAAAATAAATTGAAAATAACACACTTAGATCACATTTTCTTAACCCATTGATGATGGGTCCAAACATCCTAATTAAGCAATGCCACAAGGATGATAAAACATCTAACCAACTCAATGTCATAAGAAAATGTCTCCTTGCCTTCTTCAGGATGTGTTTCACATGGTCATTAAAGAATGTGGGTGGACCTTACCATTTTACCAATAAAGATTCTCCTATCTAAATTGTATCAATTTCAATTTAAATTTAACCTTTTATATATATATATAACGGTACACCTAATGATTACTATGTTCGAACCTCCTCGCTCCACCCCTCTCATTGTGTTTGATAGAAGTGTTAAAAAATGACACAACTCGTTAATAAAATATAAATATAATACGAAATTAGAGAATTTGAGTCTTCTTTAAGCAATCTGTTTCATAAACTAGTAGACCCGCTCGACACGATTAATAAAGAGAACCGGGTATTAGTGAAACTAATCAAAAGAAATACACAATACGATTTGTTTATATACTGATTATATACGACGCAAACGTAATATAACACGACTTGTTAGATACGAATTAAAAAAATACAAAATACGAATCGTTTATACACCAATTATACATGATTCATACATAACACGAATCTCATATAATACGATTCGTTATACACGAATTAATAAACGAATGAGGTATAGATAAAATATTTTTTGACACGAACCCGCTAAGACCTGACACGAATTCACTTCACCTTATATAATTAATAAATAAATCAGGTATAAGTAAAATCAATCAAAAAAAAAATAAATGATACGATTCATTTATATATTAGTTATATACGACACAAATCCGATATAACAAGTTTAGTTAGATACGAATTAATAAACAAATTAAATATGTGTAAAATATTTTTTAATACGAACCCCGCTAAAATTCGACATGAACCCATTTCATCCGGCATGATTGATAGGCTTAGAATGCCCAACCAAAAAAAAATTTGATAAATTATTTTACAACTATATTTATTGGACTCCCATGATTGAAGGGTTTTCATATAACTGAATCTCCTCGGAATCGAAGCAGTATGATAATAAATAGTTAAATTTTGATTAAAATTGTAAATTTGATTTTGAGAAGATTCAAACCCATTGCTCCTTCTCTGAAATTCCTGTCACTGGGCTGCTGGGCAAGACAAATTTGAAATGTTCAAACCACAGCTGAACCCATTGTCAGCTTTTATTTGTCTTCTTTAGATAGATAGATATATTCAACCAAATTAATGACACAAAATCAAACCCATCATAAACTGACAAAAATTTATAAATTTTTATTATTTTACACAGATTACAAACTTCTGGAAACCAAAAACGATTGAAGAAAATTATGTTAACAAATTTTTACAAAAAAAGAAAAAAAGAAATAAGAGGAATTAAAGGGAAAAAAATGAATTGAAAGACTTTATTATCTAACAGTCGATGCAACAGTATGAGCCCACCATTTGAGACTGTCTTTAATCCCAATTTCATTGCTTAGATCAGGAACTCTCCAATTAATCAATCTATGCTCTCTCTGTCTTCTATCCAAATCCTCCCATGATTCAGAAAGATAAGGCCTTGGAACTGAAGATTCAACAGCAGCAGTTATTTCTCTTTGTTCACACTCTCTCTTCCCCAATCTCTGCAACCCAGGAAGGATCTCAACCAAGCTTGAAACTTTATCTTCCTCTGAGAATACAAAACCCAAATCCATAAATCCCTTTATCTCTTCAAACTCAAGCTCTGACAAGCTCTTACTCATCTTCTTCTTTGTTCTTCTTCTCATATTTGTCTCTCTCTTTTCCTGAAACTCTTCAATATGTTGTTCTGTTCTTGGCTCTTCTTCCATGACTTCCTTCCCGGAGAGGATGGTCTGGAGATGAGGTGTGAAGAGGACTGAATTTGGAGAGAGAAAATCAGAGTTGAAGGAGCTAAGTTGGTCACTTTTGGACCTCATATGGATTGTTGGGAGGCTTGAAAGTTTAGATTCTGACGGGTTTTCTTGAGTTTTGTGATCTGGGTTTGTTTCAGGATTGGAAGAATCTGAATTGTGTGATTGTTTCTTGAAGATTTCAAAGCTGAACCAGCATGAATCGAAGAGGTTCATGACAACCTCTGGGTCCATTAATGGAGGCTTAGAAATATCAAAAACTTTAGGCATAAGAGATGCAGGAAACGGAGGCTTTAGAGTGTTATATATCGACTTTGTTGACCAGATTGCCCTTTGTGGTGTAAGTATATTACGGAAAGACTTCAAGTGGGTTAGCTACACGTTTTATATTGGGTGCTTAGTTTAATTGAAGTTTATTACCAAGAACTGTTCCTCCAATGTGTGTGGAGAGGTATGACGTGGCTCTCTCTCTGTGTGTGTGTGTAGATGTGACTAGATGCATCCAGACGAGGGAATTATTATGATCACAATACAAAAGGCAGAACTATGTTACTTTTTTTTTTTCGATATCATATTAAAAATTAAATAAATATTTAAATAATGATAATTTCAGTCTAAACATAATAATTTTATCATAAAAATAATAATAAAACATAACGGACACGTCTAGACAAATTTTTGACATGTCAAAATTATTATTTTAAGTTATAAAAATTATGAGAATTAAGTTAAATAATCAAAGAGTGAGTTAATTATTTATATAGAAAAAGATATTCTCCGTATTATAGATAATGAAGTTATTATACAGTGTCTTTAAAGTATGAAAAATCATCCAAATCAATTGTAAATAATTATAAGTAGCCTGTTTTTTTTTTTTTTTTTGTATACGCAACATATATCAATGTTGAATCATTTTTTATCTATTACATGTTTGAGTACTAATATAATGTACTAAATTTAAACGTGCTATGTTACTTTTATCAAGTGAAAGAAAAGAATTAAATTTAAAATTAAGGTACTCACTCTGAACAAAATTTTTGACTCCGCCACTGAGTGCAATTCCCAAACTCAGTTGTGATTCCCTCGAAGAAGTTCCCAGAAAAAGCTCATGCTTCTACACCCAACACATCTAGGTCTGAAATTTTTTCGATCAAACGAAGCCCCATTTAGACTCTCATTCTCATCCACCACTCTGAACTCTTCTTTCTTCTTCTCCCTCCGTCTCTGCTGTGAAAAAGAACCATTCATAGATGTACCCATGACGCTCATTCATAGATGTTCTGAAATATTTTGATGTATCCAACAATGTGGCTTCTTTATGTTTGCGATCGATCGAAAACATTTGGGATTAATTCTAACTGGTTTGGGAACGATTCCATATAATATTTTGATGGCTTACACGTTTTACGGTTATGCTACCACATGTTGGGTACACTTATCGGCTTTTGGGTGTTTTTTTGGTGAAGCTACCACATTTTGGACTAGAGTTACCACTATTTTGGATACCCTTCTACTTTTTGGTAAAGTAGAATGTTGGTACCATAGTGCTGTCCTAATACAAATTTCTACTAAATCAGGTAGAATTATGATTTAAATATGCATGATTGATGATTCAATAAGATTATGATCAATGATATTAATCTTTCTAAATCTTACTGAAATATGATTTTTAATTTAATGGAATCATTGTTATGTTAATATTTTTTATATCATACTAGAATCATTGCAATTGGTCTATTTATGGATTGTGATCTTCAAATGCATTCAAGGCAAAATTATAGTTTTAATAAAGAGTATGTAGATAATGACTACACAACTTGACATAAAAAGATGTTGGTGAAATGTCCATCAGGATAGATGCTACACCAAACAATCATATGGATAGATGACCAAAATAATGATATGATTTTACTGCTAACTTGATTATTATCTTTAGCCTCAATTAAACTATAAAGGACAAACTTTACTTTGCATTTTGACGATTCTTAAATTGCACTCAACACCCAAATATCACAACAGGAAGATAATGAATAAGACATAAACTATAGTGGGTGAGTGCGTGGGAGGTGGAGGGTGGGGGACCGATGAAGCCGCACTAGCTATCCTTTTCAAGTCAGTATCGTGTTATAATTTTGTGTAATATGTAGTAAAGTCATATGCGATTATATATATTTAGGTCACTCTCGTATTAGGTATTATGTTTTGCATAAATTAGGTGTATTAAGATTATAGGGACGCTTTGGATGGTCTTTGTGGGAGGGATTACATTTATAAAAATCTTCCAAACCCAACCTTGAGATTTTGTACATGAGATCGAAACAATGTATTATATCCATTTCATATATGACAAGTAACATAAATGTATGTGCAGTTCAAGGATTGCTTACAAATAACATAAACACATGTGGGGCCTACTGTTAATGTTGGGTTGGGATAAATATATGTTTAAAGTTACGTGCCTAAAATGTGTCAACCAAACAACGATTTAGTCATTCGATTGAACTTTTTTTTTTTCAAGTCCAACCATTTTATCCAATCCATACCCATGAAATAAATAGACCCTATGGTTGTGTTTGTTTAGGGTATAATAGTGGTATAAGAGGGTGGGATTGAGGGAAATAATATGCGCAACCCATTAATCCTTTGTTTGCTAATCATTTTTAGCAAGATACTAATTTTCGAATTCTAATATTGATCTGGTATGAACAATGACACTAAACCTATCTATATAAGTATATCTAATACCACCTAGGAGGTGGTATTAAAATGAGGCAGAAAATTAACAATGGTTCTAGATTAATAAATTAGGATATTGATTATTCTAATGCTTAATGTTCAAATTCAAAACAAGGACATTAAAGTTAATTTATATAAAATAATTTTTTTTACTTTTGTTGTGAGGACCACAAGAAAAGTAAATTACAATATTGACCTTTCAAATGTTTAAAAATTTTAACCAAACAGATGTTATTTAAGTTAATTATCAAATGTCATCATTACTTTTATGTAGAACCCACATGCATTGCAAAAGTCACAAGCCAAACATAATATAAAATTAAAAAAGATACTAAATTATGTCTTCCATACCCATGGTGATGAAGAAAATGAAAAATAAACCCAAATCCCATCCATCCTTCTCCTTAAAATAAACACACCCTACATATATAAACATACCTCACTTGGCAAAAATTTGCAACAAAATTTGAGCTTCTTTCATTGTGAGATATGCTCCAATCTAGATGTGATTGGTAGAGCATCTCCAACAGAACTTGTAAAACTCTAAAATACCTAAAACTTAACTAACTAGAGACAAAAACTATGCTCCAACAGAATATGTTCAAATGTTGTAAAATAGTTTTTTACTACAGTGATACTCTGAATATAGAGTAACAATGTAGCAATTTTTATAAATACTTCACAATTTTTTTCTCTCTTCTCATGTTCTTTCCCAACTCTCTCATGTAGGGTTGAAATATTGTTCTCACCAACCAACTCAAATACAAGTTTTTTCAAATACCCTAGGAGATCACAATTAATATAAAAAAAATTGATATTGTTACTTGTTTTTGGTGATACTTGAAGAATATTTGATGACTGGAATTAAAAAAAAAAATCATACCTAATTTACTTTTTGAGATGAAGAAATTTTTACATGACCATTGAGTTGGAGCAAATAAAGCAATACTTACTAGAGCTATACTACTAGTACTTAATTTGCTGACTAAATCTATATTATCGTCGAATTAGAAGTGGATGTTAATGCAAGGTGAATTTTATCTCCAATTCAATTAAGGCAATAAATTAGATCAACAAAATAGACCCATGAAAGTATTATTGTCACTTTTACGATATTACCCAAAATAGTTTTTAATTATTAGATTTTGCAATCAATTATATTGCTATCCTATTGTTTATTAGGACATAGAAATTAATTAGAGCTTTTCAAATGCTATGCTAGCAAACAATAACAAGTTGTTTGGTCAAAGTACCTACTTAATGCCCAAGAGTCTCACTATAGTGGATTTGAGAGATATGTGGTAGATAATTTTTTTTAAATAAAATTTTGACGTAATAAAAAATTTAAAGTCAAATCTACAATGTATTACTTGGACAGATGAGTTTCCACTATTACTTTGTTTCTAACCTATAGCAATGATTTCCTTGGTATGTTAGAAAAATATTGTGGAATTTTAAGGTATAACTCAAGTGATAATAGAGATAAATTGTAAATTCAAATATCTTAAATTTAAATATTGACAATCTTTTAGGATTAAGTTATGAGGGATTATTCTTCGTGAATATTCTAATTCTAGTGTAAGTTGTTTGCTTTTAACTAGATCATAGAAAGAATTAGTCAAAATATTAGTAAATTGTCACGAGCAATCTTGACCGTTAAAAAAAAAATGTGTGCGGATGTTTTGGGGGTGGGGGTGGGGGTGGGGAGAAAGATTAAGATGAAAATAGGGAAGTTTTGTCACACGTTTCTGGGTAGGGGAAAAGTTTAAAATGAGCATCTATTGATCCTTATGCTCAAATTAGAGTTTGACTTTTAGTCCTCGAAAGAAATTTATGATTCATATGAAGGGTGTAATTGTAAATATAAATAACTTCGTATACGAATATTAATTCTGACGCGGATGTTTGAATGACACGTTAAGCCAGTGGAGTCAAAATTAGCCCAATCCCACGTGCAACACCATGTTAATCCGTCATTAGCACGTGCTTGTTATGGTGCCACGTCACCATAAAGAAAGAGTAGAGCACACATGGTTGCGCCAGCCACAGACCCCACCCCAACCACCGAGGCATCTCTTGATTCAAATTTATATTTAAATTTAATTTTATAGTTAAATAAAAAAATTTATTTGATACAAAATACATTTCCCTGAAAATTTTAAAATATAAATTTAAAAGAGAATAAAATATAATTTTTGGATCTTTAAAAGAGGGTAAAATTTATGTGTCATTTGGTAACATTTTTATTTTTGTGTTTTGAAAAAAATAAAAAATAGAGAAAATTTTTATTTTGTTTTGTGGTAAACACTAAAAACAGAATCCGAGATAGGGATTGCATCCGAAACCTCATTAAACTCCTTCATCTCACTGAATGCATGTTTCATGTTTTGCTTGTTTCTTGAAACATGATTTTTTTGTTTCTATTTTTTTAGCTTGTTTCCAAGATAACTTAGATAAAACAAAAAATAAAAATAATTACAAAACACGTTTTTTTTGGCAAAATTGAAGATAAAAATATCAAACAACAAACAAAAACAGTAAACAAACAACCCCTAGTTATTGCAGATTTAAGTCTCCTTTAATTTGAATAAAAATTTGAGTCTCCTAATTTTATATGGTATGGATTTGAGTAAAGGTCTAGAAATTATTTTTATGGTGTTATTACTCCAATTTAAATCTAAGGGTTAAAGATTCACTCAAAATTACTTATAATGGTATGAAACAAGTGTTCTTTTTGTGCCTCATTTTTAAAGTTTTTTTTTGATATTTTATGACAAAATTTCACTTCAAAAGATTTTTTTTTTTTGGTTACAGGGTGTTTAGACTTGTACCAATTACTCTTTCAAACTCGAATATTTGTCACAGTAACTCAAGCAGGTTTAGAATATGTTCTATGATAAAAAAAGGTGATTGACCCTTAGAAGATATAAAAAGTGTTAAACTTGAAATCTCTAAAGGGTTACCGACACTTAGGAGATATGAAAAGTGTTGAACTTGAAATCTCTAAATTACCAAATGTCAAACTCAACCATTGAAATTAAAATTGAAATAATAGAATAAGGTTAGTATTTACTATTGCTAAGCAATTTTATTTTTTTTGAAAAAAATGTGATTTAGTGGGTCTTGTTCAAGTAATCGTGAGAATGTTTTGTTTTTGGATCGGGTCAATCTTTTTTTTTTTTTGGTTACAAGGTGTTTAGACTTGTACTGATTACTCTTTCAAGCTCGAATATTTGTTACAGTAACTCAAGCAGGTTTAGAATATATTCTATGGTAAAAAAAGGTGACTAACCCTTAGAAGATATAAACAATAGGGTTAATCTCATTTTGCACCCTTAAAGATTAAAAATCTCAATTTACACCTTCAAAGATAGAAATTTGTATCAATATGCACCTCCAAAAATCAAAAATCTCAATTTGCATCCTCAAAGATAGAAATTTATATCAATGTGCACCCCAAAGATAAAAAATCTCAATTTGCACCCTCAAAGATAGAAATTTGTATTAATGTGCACCTAAAACTAAATTGATAAATTATATCTAGATCCCCTCATACTTGTCACTTAATCATTTATACCTCTTCACATTTAGAATACTATTCCTATATCTTATGACATTTGTGCACGTATAACACGTAACCCATTTTCATTGATATCTATTAATATAACCGTTAAAAAATATAATTTTATCCTAATAAAAAATTAAAATTTCATATTACCATTTATTTTATGGGTTCAATATATTCTAAAGTTCAAAATTTAGTTTACCATTTGAATGCCTAATAAAATATAAATATTTATATAATGTTTTTCATATTACTTTTTATATAAATATCTACATTTTATTAGACATTCAAATGGTAAGCTTGATTTGCAACTTTAGAGTATATCGAATCCACAAAATAAAAGATAATATGAAATTATAATTTTTTATTAGGATAAAATCATATTTTTTAACGATTATATTAACAGATATCAACGAAAAGTGGTTATGTGTTACACATGCACAAACGTCGTGAGATGTAAGGGGAATATTCTAAATGTGAAGGAGTTCAAATGATTAAGTGACAAACATGAGTGGATCTAAGTATAATTTATCAATTTAATTTTAGGTGCACATTGATACAAATTTCTATCTTTGAGGGTGCAAATTGAAATTTTTTATCTTTGGGGATGCACATTGATACAAATTTCTATCTTTGAGGGTGTAAATTAAAATTTTTTATCTTTGAGGGTGCAAATTAAGATTTGAACAATCTTTTAGGGTGCAAAATGAGATTAACCCTAAAAAATATTAAACTTGAAATCTCTAAAGGGTTACTGACACTTATGAGATATGAAAAGTGTTGAACTTGAAATTTCTAAATTATCAAATGTCAAACTCAACCATTGAAATTAAAATTGATATAATAGAACAAGGTTAGTATTTACTATTGCTAAGCAATTTTATTTTTTTTGAAAAAAATGTGATTTAGTGGGTCTTGTTCAAGTAATCGTGAGAATGTTTTGTTTTTTGATCGGGTCAATCTTTTTTCGGTCACACTATTACAAGAAAACATCGGAATACACTTTGAGTTCAAGGTGTCTAAGTAGAGTGACTTGTCACTCTAATAGACCCAAAAATCCAATCGGGTCAATGTTCAATATAGTCAAATGAGGGTTTTTTTTTTTACTTCCAGAGTAGGCTTGTCAATTGTATTGGTTGAAATGAGTCCATGTTAAAAAAAATATTTTATCTGTATTCGATTCTTTTATTAATTCATATGTAACAAATTGTATTATATCGGATTCGTGTCAAGTATAAACCGTATATAATTGGTATATAACCAAGTGTCGTGTGTTTCTTCTAATTAACTTCACTCATACCCGATTTATTTATTACTTGTATCATGTTGGGTTCACTTTTTTGTTTTTTTGTTGGTTAAAAGAAAGGCTGGGGCAATGGAGAGCGCCCAAAAACTATTTTGATAGATCATTACTAGTGGGATCATGAGACCTTAAAGAAAACCCAAATCTTCTAATTTCGTGTCATACTCGTGTCGTGTTAACGAATCGTGTCATATTTTGATACCCCAAATTTGGAGTTTAAGAATTTGGGCTAAAAACTTGGCATTTTCATTGAGACAAATGAAAATTATGGTATCATATTTCATTCATTTTATTTAAAATTAGCTCATTTTATACACAATTAATTTATTTTTATTATTATTGTTATTATTTTTTTACAATTAATTTATTAAGTTTGTTTAATAAATTAATTTAATTTTGATCTAAATCCTCTGATATTAACGTACAAATAAACGTGGGATCCATTAGTTATTAGTGGAATCTCTCGATCAACATTATCATTACTAAGAATTAAGAAGAAAACATATTAACAAGGTGAATTTGTTGAAAATGTCATATCAAGTTTATAAAATTCTGTTAAATTTAGTTAAACCTACACACTAATAATGTATTAAATTGGTTCCGCGGACCAATTAAACTTAATTTAGCAAATTAAATAAGTTAATTCGATCTAACTATTGAGAATTATCAACCCTTTGTTAAATCGCGAGTAATATTGTTTTTGTATCAAATGATAGAGTCTCAATGAAAAATTCAAGAGTTACAATTACAACAACATTGTTAAACCATGTCTGTGCCGCAACATTAAGTTGGCAAGTTGGCAAATCTAATACCAGGAGGCCATGGCTTGGCACCCAAGATTGGGTTGTCTTTCCTCTAGTCTAAGGTTCCATCATTATGGATTAGTCCATTTCTTAAGCACTTAGCACGCGGAGTGTTGTGTGGAAGAACTGTTGCGCCGCGGGAAATTTTTCTCTATACAAGTTTTTAGTTGAAATTTTCGAACAAAACTTTGATAGGGGAGAGGTGTAAGCGCCATGAGATATGAAGCGATCTCGTATTTAATTAAATGACTTTCACTCCATAACCAAAATAAAAGAATATATTCTTTTGAATTTCTTATTGATATATGGTGAGTAAAGTTAGAATCTATTAAAACATTAGTGAATCTCTCACTCAATATAGGGTGGACTATATACAATTCAAAAAATATGAAGGGAAAATATAGTTAATCGAGATAAAAGTGGAAATAACGAATTATCATTATCTAAACTTTAGTTGAATACTTTGCAATTGACGATGTTGATTTAAGTCATAAATGAGTAGAGAACTCTCCCACGAAAGACTTAATTAGAAGTTTTTTTGACTTGCAAAAATCTATATTAACACGATTATAAGGTCATGAATGCAAGACTCGCTAAAGAATAAAATAAAAATATTAATTAAATGATGTGACATTATAATTTGAACTTGATATTTTGTCCTTTTTTTTTTCTTCTTAATTAAACTTTAATGCAAATCACTATTAAGAAAAACAAATCGAAGTAAAAGATTTTGACGAATAATCTTCAAAACCGACGCTAAAAGAATATTTGTATTGAGTTTATTACCAAGGTAACTCAAAACCCAGCCGACAAACAACTACAATATGAAAGGAACTATTACCATGCATTGGTGGGTGTGCATATTCATGGACCATTTCCTCATTTGTAGACATCCGGCCCAAGGAGATAATCTGCTGTTGCTCATAACTAGTTCGAGAAATAATTTGATCCAGATATCGATAGTAGTGCTCGATTTTCAGTGGTAGGCGATGAATGGAGGAGTCGATGAAAGCTGGAGGTTGCTCAGTAAAGCATCCATGCAGTTTAAACCACTTCGACTTCAAACCATTCTAAGTCTCAAAATCTGTGTATAGCTCATGAAAAAATTTAGTATGTTCCATGCAAATAGCATATTCTAAGGAGATGTCCTTTCTTTAACCATCAAGACGTGTTTTAAAGCTACGCGGAAATACTTCATAGAGAATAATATCTTGATGATGGGGTTGGGACATTACAACAGAAGTATGTAGTGAAGAAGCATCTAAAACCAATGGCTCACTTTTGCATACCTCATATCTCTATACTTCCATGTGTACCTTAATACAAAAATTCAGAAATTTTCTGAAAATTTTCGGTTTAGGAAGAGGAATTAATACTACACAAATAGAAATTGTAAAAACATCTGTATACTATAATTGGTCCTATACTCTTATTAGCCTCATTTCATTTGAAAACAAGGGATTATCAATATCATCTATCCCAACTTTTTTCAAGATTGATACTAATCGATCCATTTGGGTCATATCGTGATTTGATTGAGTTGCTACTTAATGCAGATTATTTTTTAGTATCGTAAAAGAATCCCTAATAGTTAAGAGAATTAACCTCAAAATAACTGCTAATGAAAACCTAGTATAATGTAAGCATTACCTTGGTTAACAAGTGTGAGATTGCCATGAAGAATACTGTACAGTAGAATTGCCGGGCAAATCTCCTTTGGCAGTGAGCTTACTAACCAAGCTGTTTGTGAGGTTAATCACATGTGGTTTAGTGGCCTACTGCCAAGAGGGTAATTGCCCAGTAATGCACCCATACACTTGACTGCTGATCACTGTGCTTGATGAACAGTTTCTAAGACCAGAAATCTATTTATAGTACATGAGAAAGCTATTGTAGTTTTCATGTAATGAGGATATTCTAAGCACATCCTATTTTTCAAAGTCCACAAAGGAAAAGGTGGTCCATTTTTATCAGTAAGGTTTTATTTTTTCTGAAATCTCTGTATATTTATTTTCCACTACCAGATACTTTGGAACCCACACGGATAGCCTAGTGGTGTGGAATTAGCTAGGGGCAAAGTCTATGAATGCCCTGGGCATTACTCTTGCTGATAACTTTCAGGTTTAACCACAACTGTAGTTGTAGTTGGTGTGTGATTGTAAATTTCCAGGATTTACTTTGCAGGGGTGGCTCTATTTTGGTACGGGTAAAGATTCATGCAATGTGCTGCAATTTGAATTCTTTTGAGTTTCTAAGAGTAAATAGGGTGGAAAAAAAAGGGGTTGGGTGGTACATTAAAAACCTCCGATACTTAAATCAGTAACTGTTGATTGAAAACGTTAAATGTTACTCTTGTAAGAAATTTCCGGGCATTAATACTTGAACATAACTTGCTTCCTATAATCCCTTTCCATAGTGCTAATGTTGAGACTTGTTCCTGAAATCATTAAGATTGAACTCTGATGAGGTTACCATAAGATTCGGAGGCTTCTGGTCAGAAGGACTAGTGTAATAGACAATATATCAGCATCAGAAGATGTTATTAAAGTCATTAGGTAATAATAAAATTGTAAATCAGTAAGAAACATGTAACAATGGGTAGTAATCAGAACAAGGAAAGGACATAATTAATTTGCAGTATGCGATACAGTCGCTCTAAGCAACTAATGAGACAGACAAAATAGCAAATACTGGATCGAAACTAGCTTTTCTTTTGCATAGACATAATGTTTCTCTCCTATAAACAAACTTTCATGTTAAGTTTTAGCACATTCATGACATTGAAGCCATGCTTTGTGACCATTGCTTAAGTTCTTCAATTGCAATGTGAACTGATGATTGACCTTTCCATGTTCGAAGAGGCAAGAACGAATTCAAAGTATACAAGTGCTTATGAAAGAGAAGCATCTAAAATTGGTGCTTACTTTTACCTCCAGTTGATAGATGTGTCCCTATCAGAAAAAGAAAAGTAATCCGAAGAAATAAAAATAAAAGAGCATATGCCAAAGATCCTGTATTATGTTCTCTCTTGTCCAATGCATTCTATTTTTCAATTTCATCTTCATTTGCAGCATTTGAATTGTGAACATGAAGTTCATTGTTTGTGAGGAATACACACAATCATTTGTTCATCAGATGGCTCAATGATTGTGTGATTTTCAGAGACTTTGAGTGCTAGATTTGTAGAAATTTATTTTATTTTTTTAGAAAAATCCATATATACTTTTACATGAACTGAAAGTAAGTTACTTATCATCAAGTTATTTATGCAATACCATTTAAATTCTAGACATGTCCATGTATATCACTTTCTACCCTTCTTTTTATTTATTTTCTTTGATTTTGGGATGCGAAAAATGCCCTGTTTTATTTATAAAGGATGTCAATATGTGGAAAGTTGGAGGATATTATAAACGTCTATCATGGGTGGGAAAGTTGTTTGAGCATGTGTGATCATCGATACAAAAAGGTGAGCAAGAAGAATCTCAACTCCTACGAAAGCAAAACATATATCAAATCCTTGTAACATGACAACATAATGTTTTCCAACCAGTTTTTTGTATGTAAATGCAACAATATCACATGCAGGCAAAAAAGGTGAAGAGGTTCTTGATCTTCTTTAGAGGATTGATGGTGAGAGATTGGGACCATGACCCCTGTGGAAGATAGAGGAAATCCCAACAGGAATTGTCCCAGCATATGCCACTTGTGCTTTCGGCATATCCAGATCAAGGTGCGAACCAAAAAGTGTATCATCCGCGCTTTCCAGCTTCTGCAGCAACTCATACACGAGCGTTTGAACTTGGAAGCATGGTGGATGGAGGGGTTCAGGAATGACAGCGTGGTCCTCTTTTTGGCAAGGATGCCATGCACATGATACTTCTTCCTCACTGAAGGAGAATTGCCCTGTCATTCTCACCACTGTCATCTAGACACCAATATATAGCATCAACTTCAAGTTTATAAATGTCACAATAGTAATTTTTGGGTTCTTTTTTATTCCCTAATGCAAACAATTAGATATTTACTTCTCTTCACCCTCAACAAGAACACACAGAGAAAGTCTCTGGCTGTTAAATGTTGATAAATGTAGGACAATAATCAAACCTAGAAAATCCTTGTATAAATTGGTAACAGCACCTTTGTTTGTGTAGAGTCCTAACATATAGAAGTTCTGTCTTTATTGGTGTCTTTTGATAACAAAATTGTGCTGATAAAATTATGTTGATGTCCAATATTATGAAATTTTCTGCTCAGTTGCTCTGGATGTGGAGAACCTGAAATGCAGCGTTGACAATATGGTTGGAAAACTTCATATTCAATCACAACAATACGTAGCTGGTAAACTTCATTAGAATTCTCATATTGGGTCTTAGCCTATTGATATATGAACATCTAATTGGCTATGGTGTCATTCATATTTATTGATACTTTTTTTGGGTAAATAAATGCAGTTTATTGATGAGCTTTGCATGAAACCCCAATCCAAAAAACAGGACAAAGGTTTATGGATTTCCTTACACAGAAAAAGAAGAAAGAAAAATCATATTTGACATATCAGATTCTGAAGACTCTTGCCATTGGTCTCTCTCCAAAGGTAATAACCAGTGGGTGCCAAACAAAGGTTTAGACTTATGGTTTTGAGTGATTTGCCCCTGCAATCCACTGGATAAATGGAACCAAGGAATAGGTTTCAATGTTACTCCTCAACTGTGTAACACACCTCCAAATTGACTGAGATGGGGCATTAAAAAAATGATTCCCTATCTTATATAAATGCTAACATCACAATCTCTCTAAGAGCTTAAACTTTTAAATGAGACGGTGGTTAATCTGTCAGTATCATATCTACAAAATCAAGATTCCATCCCAAATGCTGCATATAGGCTTGCACACAACCCATTGTAACCATAAGATGAAACTCATTCTCGAAGCTTAGATCAGTTAACTCTGCAGTTGAAACCTTGAGGCTGTGTCCGCTGGTTTATTGGATATTTACAGCTGCCAGATGGAATACACTTCACCTTGTTAGGTTGTAGTTCATTTGGAAAATAAGGAGGCATAGTGGAATGAATTTCTCTCAGATCATTAGAGGAAGAAGATGATCAATCCCACCGGTTACCAATATGATATTACTATCTCTTGCAGACTTACGCAAGACACTCTAGACTTAACACATTTGGACTACAGGATGTTGTCATTTGTGAACAGATACCATATATACCTCATAAATTATGCTGCATTCCAACTATGAGGCTTTCTGATTCACAAACCACCCTGCTTAGGCTTAGTAAGCTTAGCCTGAGGCCATTGTGATTAAAACTGCCTTTGAAATCATAAGGAGACACCCCAGAAAATTTGTGTACCATACAGAACCAATTTAACTAGTTTGAGTCTCATTGCGTATGAAATAGTCTTGCAAGTACCCAAGACCCAATTCTGGCTTCAGTCTTTTCAAGATAGCTTGCACAATCAACTAGTTTTAGTTTCATTGAGATGAAAGGTACCTTTTGGGCAGTTAACACAATCAAAAACCAAAGCAATGAAGAGAAACGTCCCTATGTTTCTCCTCCACCCCAGCCATGAATATATGAGTTTCGGAGGACTTTGCTTTGAGGCCAGACAAATCCGAGAATTTATCAAGAGCTATCTTGAGAACTGATGTTGAGACAGGGTCTCCATGGCAATGGAGGATTAGATTATCAACACAGCTCAACTAAGCTAATGCCTAATTCCTCTTAAACTAGAAAAAAAATCTTAGCCAATTTACCACTCAGATTGACCGAGAACTTAACACTAGTGAGACGAATTGCAATCCACTAAACAGTTATTGGTGGGAAGTTCACAGACATTATCACATCAAGCATAAAACCAAGATCAGTCATATCCTAAGTTTTTATTAAATGTGTTTAAACCGTGCATTTGGGGGTCCCCTGCAGGTCCATATGATATTCTCTTAGTACTTCTTGAACCAGCAAGATTGGTTGCTTGTAATTTTTAATGTGATCTTGTATAAGTATTGCAACAAGAAATGGGCATGTAATCTCACATTGTGTAAGGATTATCAATTTTAGGCGCCCCAAGGCAAAAACAGTTGCATTCAACTCTACCAAAATCTCTCCAATGCTAAAGAATTCTTGTACAGCAATTATGTATTTAACAAGCCACATCCTTTGTTTCATCCTCGATTACTTCCTATGAAGCACAGATGCATGTTCATTACACAACTTGTTAGTCTCAAATTGGCTCCGTAGTCTACGAATTGATTGGTGAACAATCTGGTTTTTCTTTCCCCACCATGGTTGTAAAACAGTAGCTCGAGGTTTAGCTTCTGTCTATTGGCAGGGGCTTTCTCCTCCAGCATTGTGCTGCTCATTAATCTGTCAAAGAACCAGTCTGCCATTGTTGGTCACTAACATGAGCAGCATATAGCAAGACCTTGTCTGTGGTACAAAATCTTCACCTATTGCAAGTCAAAGAATAAAATACATCATAGGTAATGATTGAACAAACCAAACAAGATTGTAGCAGGATGCAGTTAGTGAAACATTTGTGATACACTCCTGGGTACAGTTGGAGGCTTGGAGCCCATTGTACTGACTTGTGATTTTTCAGGCAGCCTAGAATCTCTTTGGCTCCATCTTAGCAGTAGAGGTACACTAGGATGCCAATTATCATGCCACAAGTCGATTTTCTCTCTATTACCTTGTATACGGACCCTATGTGGCCTGAATACTCCCCTTGCTTAGGGAAGTTCTGCCAAATAGCATAAAAACCTCTTTCCATTTGGTTTTATTATTATTATTATTATTATTTCTGATGACTGTTAGTAGTGTATGTGCAGTATGTAATACTACGAAAAATTACTATTACTGTATGAGTGCTCTTATTCACATTGCATCCCCTAAGTACTTGTCACATATCATCATTATAAGACTATAACTCGGGGGAGCCTTTGGGCATGTTCTGAGCATGTTGTATATCGTGTTTTTCAATCACTGAAACCAAATTTTAGCAAAAAATAAATAAAAAAGGGATTTGTTTAAGGAAATTTAACACAAAAGTAATAGAAGTTATGAACTAAAAGCAGACATTGCATATATATTCCATGCCAAAGAGTATGGTTGTTGACACTTGAACAGTTTGAAATATGTTACGTAAAACCTGGCGACTTGCATGGATGTCTTCGAACTAATCTCTGCAATGCATATCTACAGATGGTTCCAGTGGCAACTTCTAGTGGTCCCTATTGATACTAGTTCGAATCTTGTTCGAACAAAGGATCTCATTCAAAAAGGGAGGATTGTAATGATTTTTAAATCTTTTCTACTAGCTAATTTAGTACCTTTATGTACACTTGAAATACAACGTGAATGAAAAAGGGATACAAATTAAGTGGAGAGTCCCCGTATATATAGTCAATGAGAATTACAATAAGGACAAAAAGGTAAAAAGAAAAACCTAATAAAACTCTAATAAACTAAGCTGTTGTTATATCTCCAACACTCCCCCTTAAGCTTGGCGCAAAAATGTCAACTAAGTCAAGCTTGACAACGGAGTCCTGAAGAATAGATAGAGTGACAGGTTTGGTAAAAACATCCACAACCTGATCATTGGTCCCCACAAACGATGGAGTGACAATACCACTGTTAACCTTCTCCCGAAGAAAGTGAACATCAATCTCTATATGCTTTGTCCTCTCATGTAGTACAGAGTCCGAAACGAGCTGAATAGCAGATCGATTATCACAATATAATGTGGATGGAGAAGTCACAGAAAATCCCAATTCACCAAGAATCGATCGTAGCCAGATAATCTCACACGTGCCAAGTGCTAGTGCCCGATACTCTGCCTCTGCTGACGAGCGGGAGACAACTTCCTGCTTCTTACTCTTTTAAGAGATAAGACGAGTCCCTCGAAAAGCACAGAAGTCTATAGTAGATCGACCGTCGCATGCTCCTCCATAATCTGAATCTGAATAACAGGCTAGAGAACCGGTCTGAGATTCTGATACATAGAACAACCCAAGTCCAAGACAAGACTTAAGGTACCGAAGAATATGATAAACTGCATCAAGATGAGGCTAGCACGGCCTGTGCATGAACTGACTAACTCGGCGGACTACGAATGAAATGTCCGGCCTAGTGTTGGCTAAGTAGATAAGTCTACCTATCAACCTCTGATAAACTATCGGATCTCTCAACTCCTTACCTTCAGTAGCAAGCTTCAGGTTTGGAATCATGAGTGATGATGCCGGTTTGCACCCCAACATCCCAGTGTCTGAAAGAAGATCTAAAACATATTTTCTCTGAGAAAGAACAACATCCCTACTGTTACGGGCAACCTCAATCCCAAGAAACATCATCACCAGTAATAATAATATCATCAACATATACCAGAAGGATAACACACTGTCAAGAAGTATTCTGTCGAATAAAACAGGTATGATCAAAATGACATCTGGTGAACCCCAAACGTACAACTATGTCACTAAAGCGAGAGAACCAGACTCGTGGTGACTGTTTCAGTCCATAAAGAGACTTACGCAGTCCACATACCTTTTCAGCATACTCCTCCTCACCACGAAAGCCTGATGGTGCATCCATATAAATAATCTCGTCCATATCACCGTGAAGAAACACATTCTTCATATCGAACTGATGAAGAGGCTAAGAGTACTTCACAGCCAGAGAAATAATCAATCGAACAGTAGTCAATTTTGTTACGAGGGCAAATGTAGCTCCAAAATCACTACCTGGTACCTGAGTAGAGCCCTTCGCCACAAGTCTAGCTCTTTGTGACGATCAATAGTACCATCCGCAAGAAACTTCAGGGTGTAAACCCAGCGACAACCAACAGGCTTTACTCCTAAAGGTAAAGAGACAAGATCCCATGTATGATTATGCTGAAGAGCATCCATCTCTGTCTACATGACAAGAACCCACTGGGGCTCCCGTATAGCCTCCGAAACAGAGCGAGGAACTGGCGTATCTGATATGGCCATACTATAAGCTCGAAATGTAGGAGATAAATCTCCATAAAAAACATAAGTAGAAATCGGATATAATATCCTGGCGGTCCAACCATAACGATCAACTGGACGGCAATCACGCCGCGGATAACGACGCTCTAAATCATCATCCTCCATTGATAATGTCTCATCAGGTAAAGGAACTGGCTCAACACCTACAAACTCATCAATACTAACAATAGGTGTATCAATATACTCAACAAACTGAGAAGTATTACCTGCATCGCCTGAGGTAGAGGGGACATCAGCAGGGTGATGAAAGCGAGGGCGACGAACATACACCTGCAAAGGAAGAGAGACTGGTGACTTCGTACTGACAAGGATGAGTGGCTCCGAAGGAGGAGAGACGGATGACCCTGTAGGGATAGTGACCAATGACTCTGACTCTTGTGATAATAGAAAATCAAAGGAAGTATCATCAACTGAAAGAGCAAACACAGGACTGGAAGAAAAATAAGGAATATGCTCAAAAAAGGTAACTTCTACACTGTGATATATATGACGCTTAATAGGATCATAACACCGATACCCTTTAGATTGATGACAATAGCCCACAAAGATACAACGAATCACTTTATCATCAAGTTTATGACAAGTAGGAGATCGATCCTGAACAAAACATGTGCATTCAAAAACACGAGGGGGGACCAAAAAAAGTGTCTGCCCAGGAAATAAGACCTGTAAGGGAGCCTTATGCTGAAGAATACAACTCGTCGTACGATTGCACAGAAAGCTGAAAGTCAAAAAAGCAAAATACCAATAAGATTTTGGTACTCTCATGCCTCTAAGCATACAACGTACCATCCCTATCAAACTCTTATTTTTTCTTTCAACAACACCATTTTGCTCAGGAGTATATGGACAAGTGAGTTGTTGAAGAATATCTTGAGAAGAAAGATGGGACACTAAGACATCAGACATATATTCTTTGGCATTATTCGAACGAAGAGTACGAACAATGACATTAAATTGTGTCTTAATCATCTGTAAAAATAGAGTGATTAAAGGGAGTACATCAGACTTTCTATGCAAAAGGTAGACCCAAGTACAACGGGTATGGTTATCTATAAATGTCATATAGTATCGGACACCTGACAAAGCAGTAACGGGAGAGGGTCCCCAAATATCAGAGTGTATTAGGTCAAATGACTTGGGTGACTGGTGCATGCGAGGAATATAACTGGCCCGAACATGTTTCGATAGGGAACATATAACACAGTCAAGTTTACCATCAACACAAGCATTGCTCAAAGCAAGAAACAACATACATAAATATTTAAAATTTGTATGTCCAAAACGGTCATGCCACAACTAAACAGTTTGTGACAAAAAATCATAATGACAACTATTAGGTAAAATACTAGCATGCAAGCTAGGAACAGATAAAGACAAAGTAGGTGCAGGTGTAGGAATTAATGAAACTGGAGATGGATTGCCAAGATAATACAGTCCATCTTTCTCATGTCCCCTGATAATAATCATCCTGGTACTCAGGTCCTGCAATTAATATGAACCAGATAAGAATACAATCGCACAGTGAAAATCTTTGGCTAACTGATGTACAGATAATAAATTCATGGCCAACTTTGGCACATGAAAAATCGAACGTAATGTAAATCCATCTGGGAGGTGAACTGTACCCCTGCTAACAATAGGGGCATGTGTCTCATCTGCTAACTGAACCTGTGTATGTAACTACTTGTCAAAAGTGGTGAAGTGATGGACCTCACCTATCATGTGACCATTCGCACCCGAGTCTAACATCCAAAAGGGAGATGAACTGACACAAACATGAAAAACACGAGGTATATCTGTAGTGACAACAACAGTAGTCAGACTCTGAGAAGTCAGAGTAGACATAAGTACATCTAATCGGGAAATGATAACATCCATATCACTCTGCCAAGGAGGAGCAGCTGCAAGAGTAGTAGTAGTGGATGGTGGTACCTCAGCAATATCAACAATATGGCTGCGAGGAGGCGGCTTAAGCTCTGGATGGAGCTTCCAGCAAGTAGCCTTGAGATATACTGGTCGGCCACAATAATCACATTGACGAGAATCTCCCTGTCTGCGCTGATCTGGGGCACCCTAACGACGCTGGTCTGAGCGCTACCCACCCCTGACTGAGGATCCTGAATGAGACCCTGCAATAGCTGCAAGGGCCATCTGGTCAGCCGAAGGAGTCAAAGTCGCAACTGAAAGTGATGCAATACGGACTCGGCGCTTATACTGCTTAATCATCTCATACACCTCATAAAGAGAAGGAAGTGTCAACATCGACAAGATTTGAGAACGAGGTCCCTCAAACTCATCACGAAACCCCATAAGGAACTTGTGAATCCTATCCTCCTGCTCTTGAGTATGCAAGAATG